ATTGTTGGAAGTATCTATGAATATGCCATTTTGCAAGTAACACTGGTTGTTATCAGGTCATTGATGTATATGGAACAAACTGTCAATGTATCAATCAACAATCCAGTAACTGTTGGTGTAATACCCAACACAATACACAATCAATGATATGGTTGTTGATCCATTCACAATACTCGATAAATACCAACATATCAGAAAGTTTAAATTTATTCAAAATCATCGACACATTATCAATCTGAATCTGATTCCGGTTCTTCAAATCTCAAACCATGCCTTTTTATAAAATCCTTCAATCGTTGTCTGATACCGTTTAATTTTTTGGTTGCCTGTTCATACTCTTGTTTCAATTGCTTTTCAGTGTCTGGATCGTACCTTGGTCCAGATATCTCTTTACCCATTGCTAACGCTAGCTGCTGACTGAATTTGAGGTTTGCATATTCACGATATTCTTTGCGTTTTTTCTTTTGTATTTCTTTAAACTCTACAAGCATTTGCTTTATACGATTAAAGGTTCTCTGAAATTTTTCACTTAATCCAGCTATTTGATTTGTAACAGTATTAACAGACTCGTCATGGATCATTGGTTGTTGTTGGTCCTGTCTGGAAGTACTTGGAATGGGTTGATTCATTGGTTGTTTTCGACTTTGTTTTGGAGCACTTGGACTGGGTTCATTAGTTGAGCCAGACGCTTGGCTAAAGGTACTTGGACTGATTTCATTGATTGGCCGTTTCCGACCTCGTTTGGAAGTACTTGAACCAACTACATTTATTGATTGCTGTTGGTCTTGGATGGAAGTGATTGGATCAATCGGATCAAATATGTTTTGCCAGCTTTCGTCGAGAATGCTTGAATTAATTGCATCCATTACTTTTTGCCAGTCATCTTCGGGAATTTGTGGACTGGGCTCATTGGTTGGGATAGACACTCGGCTTGAAGTTCTTGATGCTTTGGCAAAACCATATTTATCAGCTGGAGGAAGTATTGCACTAACGGTTGTTGCTACAGTCAGTACAAGTAAAATGTCAACCAATTTCATCAGATTGGTCAATGTATTTAAACTATTAGTACAAAAACAGAGTGTTGAAACTGGTGTCGATTAGGAATGAATGTACTCGATTGTATTTGTATGTTTTGTATAGCAAACCAACCCTTTTAGGTTAACCGACTACACAGGGTTACTTGATTGCTTGTAGTGGGCCACTATCAAACCATAGTATGCTCTCCCTGTCCACAATATCATGTTGATCAATTTGATGATTGTATCGATTGGATTATGCTTTTATGACCCTTTGATCAGGTATATTGAAAAGCACACCCTTCGGGAATGTTGTGTAACCGCAGACGCTTTGATCTACAGCTGTATTCATGTCAAATGGTTCACTTGTATTCACTCTGCAGTGACTATATTCTGCATTGCATGTTCGATATACAACAACCATCATATGGCACACAATCGGACTATAGTGTTGAATCTACACTTTGTACACTTTTAGTAACCATACATTGTACGATCACCAAGTTTGAACCCACATTCATGTGTTGTGTTTGACTGTCGATATTGTCAATACAACTCTGTACAACATTTGTTGTATTCCGAATCACAGATACGATCACGATCTAGTTCAACAACAATGATGGCACATGTCAGTAATGCAACTGTTTATTACACATCAACACTGTTATTTTGTGGTCCATTTACATCAATATGGCTGCAAGTTGTCGTTATATCACATATTCTGGACATGGTTTTGATATTACGCATCCAGTTCCATCACATTGTTGCTAACCCATCATTGTAACGCTGTATGTATCCAACACTGACATGTCACCATAACCACAACTAGTAAAATGACACTCGAGTTGTTTACTGTGATCAATATATGCAACCCAGTGCAACTACACATACTGGATCCAGTCTGTTGGTTGTTTCAGTCGACTTTGATCCACTTTTGATGTTTTGTCCGAGATTGACAATACAAATGTGTCGAGCTGAACCCAAACTACACGACTTGACTGTTCATGTCAATTGGATCGTGACTGAGATATGTGATCATGATGTGTATTCAATCCATACCATGTATTACTAATGCAATAGTATGAGTGATCATCGTGTATCAAACAACTACGATACACACTGGACTGATACAATGCATGCACGGCTTGAACATATCACACAATCAAACATGAATACACCACATTAAAAATACGTATAATATCAGTTTGTCACTAATGAATTGTATTCAGTCGAGTTTATTGAGAGTCTGTTTGCGACTCTTGACAATGTGGTGAGTGTTTTCAGGCACAACTACTTGATCAGTTGTAGTTGATGATTCACACCAAGAGTCCTGACGTACATCATATCAACTATAACATAATCATGGTCATCATTCATTCAACAAATAACTAGTTTATTGATATATCTGCTTAGTCCTCAAGTTTCTCGTAATTTGCTTTTGACCGCTTACTACCACGGAGAGTACTACCAAATCGCAACAATGATCTCCTGAGACCAGATCTGCCACTTGAACTTGAAGTACTTGGTTGTTCAGGCAATCTAACAGCATGCATCAAATTCAATATCAATATATCAATCGATACACCCACACACCAATATCAAACAACTTACTGTGATGGTGACCAGAGAACTTGATCACCGTTCGAGATAGTAGGATATCCATCAGTCGCGACTTCGCATCCACATCCAGGACCAAATCCAGTGCGTTTATTCTGTAAATCAAATGTGACTGCAAGATGAGTCATAAATGGAATACCAAGAACTGCATAATCATTTGAACCAACTCCTACAGCAAACACGACTATAATTCAACATCTATGTCAGTCAGGTTAATCAAACAACACATATTGCATACAATTGTCAAATATTTACATTTTTCAGAATCGATTTTTTGCATATAGTCTTTGGAACCCAGTGTGATCTTTACGACGGAATTGCTATTGTCATCAGTTACGGGGGTTTGAGCAAACATTACGATTGTAAACGACGGTAGTTTGCTCCAATCGATATGAAAATTGGATCTGGGCATTGCGTGGTGTTCCCAAAATATTCTTTTGATTTCTTCTTTGTTAAGCTTGCGCTTGCTCTTGGACTTGGTATTTTTGACAGTGATCCCATTACTAGCAACAATAGCATTGACCAACGCTTCCACGACTACTCTAGGAAAATGCATAAATGTACAACATGTATGTAGATATGAATACAAAGTACGTCCATGTTCTACTTTTTTTTGGAATCCAGCAGGCAGCTCCACTTGTTCGCCATTGACTAGTATACTCTTGATGTTGACAGTATGATGATCGTATGATGGTGATTGTACCCATGCAACACTCCTTCCATCCGTTCCGCATTTTGCAGTTATATCCGTATTTCCTATATTGATAGAACTTTCATGCAACATGTCATACTGACATAGTTGAAGACCAATCTCGGTATTGGGAATGACATCTTTGTTGTACAAAACATCCATCGCAGGGACTGATGTGTGATGTTTTGACAACGAGGAATAGGCAAAGCCAAATACTCCATCAAGATTTGGACTGATACCAACTGAATCTGGCGATTGTTTTTCAACTGATATTACTGGTAAATTGATGTCAGTTATCCCAGTACCCGGAATCGTCACAGCGGCTGTGGATGTAACTCCTTTATACTGTTTGCCTTTGTAACTTATAATAAAGGGTTCCCCACTTGAAATACTTTGTATAGCCAAACCTACATCGTCACTTGAACTAGGAAGTGGTGCAATTATACTGGAAACTGATGAATCGACTTGTAAATTCAACTATTTTAAACAAGTGTTAGATTGATTAGACCTAGTACAAACTGATATCAAACTACAATACATGACATGATACATACACTGACTCCATTAACATTGGATTTCATTCTGTAACATTTCCTAATATCACCATCCAATTCAACGGGTGATCGTTTTGATAGCCTGTTGTTTGATTGACTGGCACTTTCAAAAGGTGATTCTAATGCAAGTCGAACTGCAGCAACCGCCTGCAACGCAAGTATAACGCATTCTAGAGTAATCAGCATTGTATCGAGTAGTGTGATGAAAGTGTCGTGAATCTGGTACATGACTGTCGTTTTATAACAACGGTAACTTCAAGGGTGACAATCAGCAATCTCCAAATGAACGACCACAAAAAGCCAAATACACTATGCAGGGTGGACAAAGCTGGAAACACCCTGTAGGGTGGATCAATACACAAGCATTGCTGTTAATATGTATAATCAACCTCAGTAGTATGCTGCGTTGATATTTCCAATTGCGGTGATGTATCCAGTAATCAGGTAGTGTCAGATTGCCACTTGATTATGGATAGTTATCATCACATCTACAATCCATTACTACAACATATACTGTCACTGTATACCAAATACTTGACTGATTGTTCAATTGGTCATGTTTTGGATCACTCGGACACAACAGCATCAAACAACCTGTTGTTTCAGTATTTCAAAACCATGACTTTTCCATTGGTATGACTGCACAGTCATTTTAGGTTAATGTAGACTGTATACATCAAACACTGCTGATTGTGTCACAACATGATCAACATCAAACTCGGCAATCTGTCGCTGCTACACCGAATGAGTGACGTTGTACTATAATTGAATTGGAGATTGGCAGGTCGTTCAACAAACTGGCCGTGTCAATAGGTCAGATTGTCATCGTGTACATGAACCACAATGGATGATCATGTCATTCAAATCAGCACACAATCTACTGATATATGCAAAACAACACCACCAATACAATCCAGATCAAACCCAATCACAAACGTGGTGTTGAATCCAATGCATGCGAGTACTTTTTAAACACATGATACACACTGATGGTGATGGTTGCTGATAGTCATATTGCAGTGTACATGTCCAATAGTGTCCACTGTCATGTCGATTGTTGCTATCCGTGACATCCAACTGTACTTGTATTCACCAAATGTGCACAACATCTAGGGTTGGTTGCTAGATGCTCTCATGTTTGGCATACAACTAGTCACCATCAGATCAAGCGTATACGCTAGTACAGCGCCATGAATCTATTGGCAAATGGTTTCAATTTTATTCTGGCGCGTTGAGGGTTGGATGTGTACTAGACACAATGTTGTGGATATAACTGAACCACAACAGGGTGATATCATGCATAATGGTACGGCCTGGATCTGTTTGGTAGATATGCAACCATATATATGACAACCCAATCCGTCCTTTATCACGGGTTGGTTTTAGAAATGTCTGTTATTTTGGTTGATACATGTTTGTTGCATAGATTGGCAGTATTGTATGTATTTAGTCTGATTCCATTGTAAACAGTCTGGTTGATTACTCATTCACTGCTAATGAACCCGTTTGTACAACAGAATCGATCATTTGCTCAGTATCAAGGCGATGTTTAATCAAAGTAATGGCTGGATTATACAATGCATACCAGACTCCATCAGCCATATTTATGGGAATTGCTTTTCATCAAGTCATCTCTGCGCTATTTTTTATTGCTACACGACGTAGACCACTTCATACTGCCATCGACCTCATAGCGCTGGTCTCATTGATAGTTTGTGCTGGCCAGATTTATGTGCACACATTATTGATTGATCAGTCCATTTCACCGGAAACCACTGTTGAAAACTGGGTCGAGTGGTTGGCTGCATCTGGATATTTGCTGACGTTTTTGACAAGTACTGGCGTGGTAAGCTTATTTGTTTGAACAGACGTGCTTGAATGGTACAGTATTTTGGTTGACTGATTGCATGAATCTGTATGATGTGTATGATTGGCAATAGCTTATTTTGATGGTTGCTCGACTTTAAGTATTCCACAAAGGAACGCCTGTTTTTTGGATTATAACAGCTGGAATAGTTGCCACGTTTTGCGTGTCAGCACTCACTGGTGCATTTGGCATATTATCGTATCTTGAGCTCATCAGAGGACAAGCTGTCATTATTTCAAAAAGTGCATTACTTCATGTAAGCACACATGTATATTTGAATCGACTCGAGTATATTGAATTCAAGTGTTGGGTTTAACTTTCTGACATGATTTTTACCTGTTTCCCATTCAGTACTCTAGTCTGCTTTTTGCAATCAAATGCATATTTGAAGGTATCATATCGGCAACTTCATCACTCATATTTCTTTGGACAATCAGTAAAGGCACTGGCGTGCACAGATCCGAATTCATCAAGCAGTTGTTTTTAAAGTATGAAGGGTTCCGTTTTGTCGTTATTTTTGTCCTTAATATTACAATGGCAGGGTTTGCTGTACATTCAGCCTATACGGGTGAGCCATTTGTAGCCTATACAGCCTGGTTCTTTTCTCCCATGATGTATGGTTTAGAAATCTACACGTTTTTACTGGTGAGTTTTGTTGCACCATCAGATATACTAAGAGCAAGACACGATTCGTCTAGTGATGATGGTTTGCATGGAATTGCTGCTGAACATGCTGGTTGTTGTGCTATTGATATTACACCCAAAGCCAAGGTTGAAATGGCCATTCGTAATATGATAATGGGTCAAGATAAATAAACTACAATATTAATGCTACTGAATTGAATTCAAATATATCAAAAATACACGCAACAGCACAGTTGTATACTCGAATGCTGTTTAAAAGTATCCAAAACAAACATGCATTACATGGCCAGAATCGTGCAAACAATATGCAAATGCATCAATAGTTTGGAAAACTGCAGCATTCAAGTCTAGATGTAATCGAATATAACAAATCAGTATCACTCGAGTTTAAACACATTTAAACTTTGCATTCATTCTGAACTCATTCTGAATTCATTCTGCACCAAGACCACTACGCTCAGTTCGTATAACAACCTTGACAGGATCAACAATGCCTTTGTTTCCTGTGCCCAGCGACTGTCCTGGATTCCATCCCATAGCAAGCAGCATTTTATGACCAACGTTTTCATTTCCAATCGGTTGGCTAGATTCACCCACAACATGACCTTGTTTAACAACAGTATGTTTGTGATGTGGGTCTTTTTTCATACCGGTTTTGTGCGACCGTTTCATTTTGCTGTCTGGCGACATTCTGGGTTTTCTAGCAACATGGAGTTTGACAACTGAGCCAGTAAATCGGTCAGCAATCT